TTTCTTTTCTTTTCTTTTTTTTTCAATTGAATGGAGTGTAAAATAGTCAAAATATTGTGAAAAGGACGTTCAGCGCACGAAAAGTGATAGTTAAGGGTATAAATGCTAAGAAATGAAAGGTATGGACGGTTTCCAAAATCAAACCCAAAGGTAGGGACGTTTTGTGTCAATTACCCTTACAGTATGCTAAATGAACAAAAAGTTGTTATGTATCATAATAGACAAAAAGGTTACTTAAGATGTTACCATATTTTATACAATTGATAAGCCTTAAAAATAATGTGTACAACTCCAGAAAATAAAATGAGAGATATGGACATGGATGAGACACGACACAGATAAGACAACTTAGAATTTTCCAAAAAGTAGGATGCAACAAGATAGGGATGCATTGAATGAATAATTAAAATTTTCGATATATCATCCAAGAAATTCATTGTGATTATAGAATTTAAAAGGTGGTTAAAAGGAATAGTAAATTTTTTTAGAAATTAAGCATCTGTTGGTGGGTTTTTTTCAAATAGGATAAAAAAAAGAAATTATGATGGAATTCAAAGCACATTGGAATTGCTTAACAATACCTGAGGTCATCAGAGGTACAAAATTATCACATGATCACTCTCTTCACTAGTTTTTTCCTGCCATATGTGATTCTTGTTCCCATTTTTCCTTTGAAGCCAAAAATTTGTCATATTTGCTTTTTCAATTTTACTTTGATCCCAAAAGAGTCCAACTATCCACAGCGTAATGCTATAAATATTTGATACTTGTTTATGTTTGAGAAGGACAATCAATGTGCAAAATAAAGCAAAAATAAAACAAAGGAAGCCAGAAAATCAAGTTAACTTGTGCAATTTAGATAATGCTTCAGGCCAACAACTTCAAGATTTAAACCTCATAAAGAAATAAGAGATGATAAGTTGAACTCCTTAAAAATGAAGACTGCACATTCTAACAAGTTGCAAAAACCAACACCAACGATCACTATCAAGTTACTATAATCTACTGGACGAACTTACTAAGAGCTTGTTTGGGAAGGATTAAAATCTAATTAAAATTGAAAATATAGCCGTTATAGGGTCCCACTCGTCTAATAAAAGTCAACTTCAACGGCTATATTTTCAATTTTAATCTGAATTTAATCACTCCCAAACAAGCTCTAAATGTAGCATTTACATTACAACTAGAGAATCAACTCTTTGGTAATTTAACAAACAGAAAGAAGCAGTAGATTATTTGACGTAATTACCTAAAGGAACTAAGAGATTGAAGATCAGTGTCGAGCAGGAAACGGGCCTCATAAGGACTCAGCTTTGTAGATGAGAAAATATAGAATCAAGGACACACGCGACCATAAAGGTATAAAAGTTGAACCAAAATAGATTGGACTATAATATTAAAAGTCAAAAGTTCAATTGCCAAAGATTTAACTTTTCCATATATAACAAGTGACCATTAAACAAAATAGGCAGAGTGCTAGCCCAAGGAACTAGAGAGGAAAATAATGGAACTACAAGTTTTATTATTGTATATTAACATCAAACATTGTAGCTTAGCATAAACAGCAAGAAACTTTGATATAACTTCACATGTGAATCTTCCCTTCTTCCATTTTTTTGCAGAAGAGAAATCAGAATAGTACTGAAAGTAATGTGGGCCATAATTTCAGCATAAATAAACAAGACCATGAGGCGACAAAGGTTTTTTTTGGGAAAAAAATGCATGAAATGGCTGCCTTCAAATGATTGACATCTAAGACTTTATTTAGTTCAATCTAGTTAAGTCATTTTTGAATTTCCAAGCAGAACTAACATACGGTAATGATAGTAAGACAAATTCCTAGCAGATAAGCAATATGTAAATGACATTTTTGGTACAATATAACCAAAAGTTAGCAAAATGTTAAATGAGCCTGGCTCGCTCTTTCTTTTTTTTCCAAGGAGAGAGAAAAGGGGGAAGAAGGACGTCTTTAAAGCATCTAAAATATACACTTCATCAGCAGGAGGAGGATGAGAGAGAGAGAGAGAGACAAGAAATTCATGCTGATGCATAATTATAAAATATTCACCACCAATGATAATGGAAAGAGGAGTATTTACCATTAGTAGAAATTATACTATGTAGCTCGTTCCCTAGTGAATGGGAAATACATGCTAAGTTGAGCTGAATATGTTAATTGCTATTTGCTAAGGCAAATAGTTTCCGTCATTCCAATACAGCAATACTCACTTAGCATCAGAGCAGAAATAAATGCCATTCATGTTGGAGGTACTTGAGAACCACGTAGATGAGAATATCGGGTAATGATACTCGAATATTAGTTTTTGTAAACCATAGTAGGATTTAATACCTTGATTCTTCCATATTCTCTGACAGCGCAGCTTTTAGCATCCTCTGTGACCCTAATGGCATCCTTCAGCTCTTCTAATTTGTGGATCCTTGACTTGTCACCTCCGAAAATTTTGGATGATGTTGTTTCAAGTTTTTCAGCTTTTGAATGCAAGGAAGACAATTCTGATATAAGAGTTTGTACTGTTAATAAAGCACTTGAACGATCAGAGAATGCATGGTTTACAGCTAACATCAGCCCCATGTGTTCATGCAGCCTATCCTGCCATACGTAATTTGTCACGTGTTAGTGAAAGGAATATCACATTGTTCAGTGTGATCTTCTTTTACTACTTTTTGAATACATTTGGCACTCAGTTATAAACAAGACTAAATAGTATAATAGAGAAGATTTTAGATTGTTTTCCTTCCTTAAGAATGTCCAGTGCCCTGAATTCCACCTTACCAAACAAACCACAAGATTATAGCAATTAATCCCTTGTGGAAGGAATATTATCATCATTAAGTTAAGGATTTGCAAAAGAAACTGCTAATCACAAGAACCCACATAAAGTAGGAGAAATAACCAGCATATTACTGGACAAACTCGTGCTTTCATGTGAATAGAACTTGGACCTTGCATTCCCACGACCTCAACACTTGCTGCTAAGCTGGCTTACTTGGTAGTTTGAGCAGCAATAACAATCCTTCAATTTCTTACAAAATAAAGACCAATAAAAAGGTTACAGCACTTACCAAATGCTTCACAGTCTGCACATTTAATTCCCGATACAATCTGCTTACTTTGACAGCTGCAGTTGCTACATTTTTCATGTCAACAGCCCTCAGAAACTGAGTATTCAATACGGCCTGCTCATTCTCAAACTTTGTCAACTTAATGAAAGCTAGTCCTAATTCTCCCATTGTATCCCCCATATCTTGCTGGGCTTTAACCAGTGTCTCAGCCTAACATTTTAAAACACCAAATTAATCTTCCAAGAGCAGTGCTCTATAACACTGAACACAAAATTCAAATTTGAATTTATCTGGACATTTGTTGAGCATAAAATTATCAAATTGACATGCATGGGTATGCTAGTCATCATATCCTAAATGCAACGAAACAAAATAAATATTAACTAGTGATACAAATATTGAGGAAACCTGTTTAGATGCATCAGTGAGTTGCTCCTCGAGATCGCGCAATTTCTCCTTCTTCTCCAAGAACTCCTTATCATCCTCCACCACAGGTTGCCTTGACCCGCCCCAATCATTCACAACTGACTGCTTCAACTCCTTGAACAACCTCAGCAAATCTCTCCCACCCTTGGCCGGCTGCACCACATCCTGGGGTTCAATCATGCTCCTTGACTCCCCCAGCAACTGCTTGGGCAGCCTCGCTGCTCCGTCAAGCATCCTTGAAGCCACATCAATGCTCGCAGGCAGTGGCATCCTCCCCTGAACCGTCAAAAACACCCTCAACTCATCGCTCTTCTTAATCATCGGGTGCTCTGTAAGCTTCCTCAAGTACTTCTCCAATGCCAATGACCTCTGCTCCACAAAATCTTGCTTTTGCATGACCTGACTCTCTACTATGCTTTTATCCGGACGTGGCGGAATGAAAAGTCCTCTGTAACTTTCATTCAAGCGATCCGAGAGTATAACAACGTCCTTGAACCTTCTCCGGACACAAAAATCAGACCCTCCATAATCAGGAATATTAGTATTCGTGGTAATCAAATAAGTAACATACGTGTTACTACCCGAAACAATCGAATTGGAGGATTCCCACTCTTTTTGCGGATCGGAAACGGTGACGTTCAAATACTCAGAGCTGGTTTTTCTTGATCTTTGCAAAATTGTCAATTCATCAAGAATTTCTCCAGTGCCGTTGGGTTCAGAAATAGAGGATATGGCCGGCCCGTCATCCATAGGGCTGAAGATGACATCAACATATGATTCGGTGGAGGGATTGTCAAGTGGAAACAGGAGGGGATCGGAGACGAGCCGTTCTCCCGCCGCAGCAGGCAATTGGGAGTTCACTGACGAGGAGGCGAGGGTGGTGATGACATTACGGGAGCTGGAATAGGAATTTGAGGTCAAAACCTCGTCGTTACAGGTGTTTTCCTCGTTCAAACTGAGGAATTGCATCGGTTCTTTGCTTGATTCTTCTTCGCCCATCATGTTTCTATAAATAAAGATTGAATTTTTTTATATATAAAAAATGAGATTAAACAGTGATAATACACCGCTAATATTGGAATCGATGATCATGTGGAAAAGGGATTGCAGCTGAAATCTTCAGAATTGTGGTTTGAATGCGATTGGCAATGGTTTCTTTAAGCAACAAGCATTCAACATTTTAACTAGGTTTTCACATTAGGGTTCGTTTGATTGGAAAGTTGAAAAATGGATGGAAAGAAAATGTTTTACAGGGAATTGATTTTCTTAGAAAATGTTTTACTGGGAATTGTAATTAATTGTGTTTGATTTGTATAATTTTCCATGAAAAA